CAATGAATTGTCTTTTTTTCACTGTGAAAAATAATCAATATATTCAGTCATCAATGAATTAGTTAACAACATCTTCATGATTGATATTTAAAATACTTTGATTAAGTTGTAAAACTATTCTGACCCTACAAATTTTCACCTTTTATCCAGCATCTCTACTTGTCCATAACTGCAAGTGGTAATACTTGGATTCTTGAATATCCAACACATGGGCTCTGATTTCTAGGCCCTATAACATCCACAAGCCAGACCAGGTAGTTGAGATGTTGAGAGTTATTCCTCTTGCATGAATGCAAGTGTTCTGCAATTTAACCAAAAATATTAAATTTTTTTCCTACCCTGATTTTAATTTTTTTGACAAAGTCTTTTATTAGTTTTATGTTGACCACTGTTTTTTTGCAAAGCGTCACTCACTCACGACGCTTGGTTGATAGCAGGGGCCTGCAATCCAGAGCAGCTTTGAATGAGCCACGGCTCCTCCCGGCTGATCAATATTCCGGATTTATTTTTTCTTTTGAATTACCAACTGAGAAAGGATTTAACAGGGATGTAAGAGTGAAAAAAGAAGAAAAAAAAAAAAAAAAAAGGAAAAAAAACCCACCTCTTTAACCTTCAGGGACTAATAAAGTAGTAAAATATTCCACTGGATAAAAAAGTTGATAAATTCTCTATTGGGACACCTCGCCTCTTTTTTTTTTTTTTTTTTGGTGGTGATGAAAGCTTTAAGGGAATAATGCCTTTTTATAAAATATTTTAATTTCATCACAATAGTATTTTCTAATGAAAGTATTGTGTCAGAAAGTTATCAAATCTAACACCTGAATCTTAAATACAGAGTGTTCTTTTAAGACTTAATTCTTTTTTCCTAGTCAAAAAGCTCTTACAAAAGGAAGCTGTACACTCTATAATTCAACACATCTTTTCTGATTTCAGCAATACGCTGAAATATTTATGGCCTTGCCAGAACAATGAATACACGGAATTCTCCCTTTAGTTATCATTATGCTGCTCTTCCCCAAGCAGTTCTTCCACAAGAGGAAGAAAAGGTTTATTTCTAGTTCATTAGCTGAAATGCATTAAAGGCATCCTACTTCCACAATGCAGAATTGTCCCCAGAAAAGCATTCTTGCAGGAAATAGTTTTCTCCTTCTGGTACTTACAGTATAAAAGCACATGGCAGAATAAGTTTCAGCAACTGCCACCAATCAGATGACTCTCAGGCTGAACTGAGGACTTGTATTTTGATGTCCAGCCTCTATGATTGCAATTTTAGTATTATTAGCCTAATTAACAAAACACTAAGGTTAGCCAAGGTGTGCCTACCCGTATTAAAGTTATGCCTATATTGTAACACACAGAGATAAACCAGAGTGGGGTGGAAAGTCATCCTGTGCTTTCATGTCAACTTTTTCAGGGCTCTGCTGAAGAACAGTA